GGTCTTAAAGGGTTAAGCTCTGCTGCCACGAGGACAGATACAAGAAATCTATAATAAATCTATAACTCTGCAATAAAACACTTTATTGATTTCTCGTTGCATTATTCCAACTCTGTGCTTTGACAGCGTTTCCCCTGTGAGCTCATATCCTTAAATTCTATTTTGCTTTATTATTATTTATAACGATTGCTTTAGCTTATTATAAATGTACTTTTATAAGGACAATTCAGTCTGTATGAGCTACTTACTACATGTTTTGCATCTTTAGAGGTGAATGTTCAGTGTCTTTGCCTTTCTGTCTGTCTCACTTTAAAGTGAAAATAGGATTCTGATAGCAAAACTTGATTTAAGTGTGACAGATTTAGCTGTTTTTAGGTGGTTTCATTGAAAGTCTGTCACTGTTCTGATCAGGCCAGCAGCTCCTTTTCTCTGAGCTTTTGGTTTTATTCTAATTCTCCTGAAGTTAGGAGGATGACTTGTTGAGTTTGTCTGGATTCGTGTGCATATAAAATATTGAAAAGATGAAGATTAGATTTGAAAACGAGTGATGAGTAAAAATGGTTGGATAGGAGGACAGTCATGTAATTTCTTTTATGACTGTGTCTCAGCAGCACTTCTCTTTATCTCACTCGTTCTTCTCTGATCTTGTCGCAGCTGTAAAATCACACATTTAGTGCGGTGATCAGAGTCTTCCTATAGCACGGAGCGATAACGTTTCAGTTCGCCTCGTTTAGAGACAAACAGTGGTGGCTATCAGTGGAAACAGCTGGAACGACGTTATCTCTTCAGTGGTGACAGAAGGTATGCATTTTAATGATCCTGATGATGATGACACCAGTATAATGATGAAACCAGTAAGAATGAACGATGACAGTGAGTAAACTGCTGGTTGTGCCCCAGAATGAAGTGAAGGGAAAGCACTGAGAGAATCTGAAGTGGCAGACACACACCAGGACGGATGATCACATGAGCAGGGTGATGAGGGTGATGGTGTAAAGGAATGAGCACTACTCTACAAACAAAATAAAGAAGGATTTTGCAGTGGAGGGTAAAAGTATGCCGTAATAAACAGATGAGTAATATGTGGCGATAAAACAGCAAGGGTAAACAAAGACGGCACGACAATGATGTCCTCAGCGTGTGCTGGCTGGGAGCTATCACTCAGTCGGCTGCAGCGGTGCATTGTGGGAGACGGAGTGGGCGGGAGGCTGAATGAGGAGAGAGATGCACTCGCTGATCTCTCCTCTGTCTCCCTGCTCGTGGAGGAAAGAGTGGGGGAGGGGAGGAGTTATAGGAGGCGAGGAAGCAGATGAGAGAGAGTAAATGATGAGGATGGAGAGAGATGATCACTACACACACAGACACACAAACATGTGCAACAGTCAGTGGACTATCTTCTGATGTCAGCAGCGTTTGAATACTAAAGAACGGCTGCAGACGTATCGTACGTGCTCTGTGTCTGCAGAGGTCAGCGAGGCTCAGCTGTGCGACTGTCCGTCTATCATGTTGCATTTGTCATGTATGTCTTATGTTGTGTGGACAAAGTGCCCGTCCAAATGTCTCTGCGCTGCTGCTAAACATGATTTGTGTCGTTACTGCCTTTTATGGAAACGCTCTCGTCTTTCTTCCTGTTGGATTCGTGGTCGTTAACTCTGTGACTGTCCATGTTTTGACGCTCCCGGCGTGCTGGTGTGTACGGCTGCTGCAGCACGTGTGCTTCTGCTGGCTGCTCCTACTTTTGTCTGAGTAAATCAACCTAACATGAAGTCTGTCCCAGCCACGTGATTGGTTCTGTGGGGTGCTGTTATGGTTGTCATTGGTCTGTCACGTTGTCTGTCCAAACATGGGCGATTGATCGAGGTTAACTTATTTCATTATCTTTATTCTTTTATTATCCAGCGTTATCTGTCTGTAAATCCTACTTATTTACATTATATGTGAGAGATATTACTCTTTGTCCCGTTAACTCCTCTTCCTCCTCTTCCTGTGTGTAACAGATGCTTAATGTGGGTCTTGATGAGCTCAACCAAATGATACTCATTGTTAATTTTATCGGTTATTAACAGTTTTTGTGTGTTTTCCTTCTGCTGTGTCGTGTACAGGTATATGTGGAGTTTGATGACCAGGAGTGGGACAAGAGGGAGTGGGTGAAGGTCTATGAGGATTTCCAGCTGTTTCTACTGGAGCATCAGCTGGTCTGGGCCAAGAGGAAGGAGTGCGCAGCAGCAGCAGGAGGAGGAGGAGGAGCAGGAGGCCTGCTGCAGGGATCCAAGGCCAAACACATACAGTGGCCTGCCCTGGTAAGACCTGTGTTTGCTATTTATAGGCTGGGCACGATAATGATGCTGGCCAGCCAAGCTGACTCTGCTGCAAGTGTTCTGTCCTCTCTGCTGCTCTGTGGATCGTCTCTGTGCTTCTGCATGAAGGTGTTGCTGTTTACGAGCTTTTCTATAAACTTGTTTGGCTCTTGCTGTTGTTTGGTCGGCACGTCATGCGTTTCCTGTCAATCATCAGTGAACGGATGAAGTTTTAAGTTCTTCAGCTGCTCAGCTGTGATTACTCACAGCGTCCTCTGCAGCTGGTGTCCAGGGTTAGGTCTTCTGCACAGTCACAGCTGCTGCAACTGGTGTGAACCTGGATTATTGTCATGATCCACGTGGTCTGAGTGTGTGGCACAAATTATCCTGTCATCAGTAAAAACTCATGTTAGCTTTATCTCATCTAGCTCTCTGCAGCAGGCAGCTAGCAGGTGTAGCTGCCTGCTGCATGATGATGATGATGATGATGACTGTGAACAATAGTGATGACAAACTGTTTCTTATGGATTATTGTCTGTTTTCTTCTAATAATCTTTGCACCCCGTGATCATAGCTGTGAGTTAGAGGCTGCATAGTTGATACAGATCAATAGTACAGTATTATGGCAAAGTGGATACTTTGTTACTATGTTCACTGTTGTTGTGTTTGCTGATTAAAGCCACAAACAAAGGCTGATTCCGGTGATTGTGACAATATGTCAGTTCCTCCAAAATCTAATATATGATTTTAAATTCAGTTATGATCAGCAAGTGTGACAGTTTGGTGTGGAGCATTCAGACGTGTATTTACACAGCGGGGCAAACTTTGCAGGACGTCCCAGCAGATTCAGAGTGCAGTGCTCCGAAACATGGAAAGACATAGACCTGGATCTCTGGCTCCGTGACCACGATAAATGTTCATGACAGTACACTTAAAAAAAGAAGAACATGGCAGCACAGCGTAGGTTTGCAAAGCTGTGTCTGAAAAATCCACAGGAGTCCTGGAACAATGACTTTTGGCCAGACAAGACCAAATTGGAGATGCTGGGCCATGATTCCCAGTTTGTTCAGCAGAAACCAAGTGGAGGATATGGTGGGGATGTTTGGGTTGTTTTGCAGCAACAGAACCTGGCACCATGCAGTCATTGAGGTACAGATGAAGTCGGGATGTGCCTGACTAGTTAACTGGAGGACTAGTCTTTGCTTTTGTCAGTCGTTTGTACCAGACTTACTAGTCCTTTAATCTAATTGGTTTACAGTTAAAATCAGCAGCAGGTAAATTGTTGTCCTAAATGTTATGCAGCCATTAGCCATCAGATGGAGCGCTGTAGTTGCTGTTCTGATCTTTTTGTCTGTTATTGTTGAAAGGTGAAAGAATGAGGTCGCAGATATAAGTGGAGCCACTACTCCACATCGAACGGACCAGCCGAGGCAGTCGCCTGCTGGACCAGGAGGAGGCCCTGGGATGAGAGAACGCTGCGGCGTTCCCCGGAATAAGCTGTAGGAGGTGGCTGGCAAGAGGGAGGGTGTAGGTTTCCTTGCTTAGGGTGGTGCCCTCGCATCTCAAATTCAGATAAGCAGAAGAACATGGACGAGCAATTTGTTGTTGTTATTTGATGGTTACCTGAAGTCCTCTGCTTGGGGAGGAGTTTAGGTAACCGAGAACCTCGCCTCAGACTTGCAAGTGCTAATCCTCATCCCAGCTGCTTCACACTCTACAAGGGCTCCAGGAGCACGAGCACAGCAGGAGGTCATCACTGGATCAAGTCAGCAGGGTTAGGAGAGCACTGAGCCCAACATCCTCAGTCTCTTAGCCAAAGGCAGAGCCTCAGAGATGTGTTTGGAAGTTTCACCTTAGTCAAACTACATTTGTCTGTAAGTGTGTGTGAGTGATCACGTGAGGCTCGGTCTGCTCTGCGGCTTGCGTCACACACTTTGGTGTGGTGGCAGCGTGGTTACCGCGGTGTTTATGCCGCTGTCTCGATGTCGCACCCCTGTATGAGGAGATGATCCTGTGGGTGTGCTCGTGTTTTTGGGTTTGTCACTTATTGGAGGATTTGCTTCGTAAATGTTTGACACTGATGTCATTTAGTTTCCGACTGTGTGCTCTTTTCTCTGTGTGCGCACAAATGTGAGTCACTGTTGTGGTTATGTAACAGAGTGCACGGTGCCATCTGGCACACACGTCGTAGATAAGAGTTCAAAGACACACGCACACTTTTTTCCTGGTTGTTTTTCTGCCTCTCTCACTGCTCCTCCCGTTTCTCACAGATTTATCACACTGTTACCATAGCAACAACATTGAAATATAGTACAGACTCAAAGCTGATTGACCCGCTGCCCTCTGGTTGGCGCCTCAGGCCAGTCAGATCTGCAGACTCTCAAACACTCGGCCTGTCAGCACACCTCACCAATCTGAGCCCTGGTCTGAGTACCCCTCCTCACTCACAGGCTCACACCGAGTCCTTTGCTTCCAAGCGCTTTGTTCTCCAGTGTGGCGTTGACTCGCCTTTAAAACCTCACGTGGGTCCGTGCTGCCTGAATTTTCAGCCCCAGCAGCTGCTGCTAGACAGAGACAGTAGACGAGCAGGCGAGTGGACCCAGCAGCTCGCTTTGTTGTTGCATAACCGCACGCACACTTGGCTTTTATATCTCAGTGAGGACATAATGCTTTCCTCAGCTGCTTACCTTAACCTAACCATAACCTAACTGTGACCCTGCTACTAAAACCACAATTCCAGCCTCAAACATGCCTTCAAAAGCTGTTTGACGGGCGTTTGGACCCCAGAAGGGACGGTTGGTCCCCACAAGTATAGTAACAGTTGAATTTTTGGTCCTCACAAGGATGTATAAGTGTGCACACAGACACACACAGGGGCTGTTGCACTCATCAGTATTAATTCACTATTAATTACTGTCATTCATCTCTCTGTCTGGGCTTTGCTCAGTGTGGTTTTTGGTTTCACTCTGAGTTTACAGCAAAGTCTGGACTGATTATGTATTTGTGTGGTTCATGCATGTGTTTGTGTACGTCTGTTTGCAGAGCTGCTGTGATCTGCTGTGGGTGTCCATGTGTCCTCCAACCTATACTCTGCTAATATACTGAAATGCACATCTATGCATAAGCTGCTGTCATCTCTATGTTTCAGTATGACAGTAAAATGTGCATCAGTTTCTTCGAGGTCACTAGCAAGAGTTAGCCATAGTTTGGATGAAGTTTGCAGATTGTCCATGGAGGTGTGTAATTATTCACTGAAGCTGTGGTGTGGAGAGCTGCACAGACGCCAGATCGTTCTGTCGGCTGTGAGATTATTCGATGTAAAGAACAAAGGCAGCGTGATGAGCAGAAGTCGACCCAGCCGTAAAGGAAAATCGTGTGTGAGAGTATTAATAGAATATGATTTGCTGGTAGTAGTAACAGCTGTAGCAGGTGCGGATCCTGCAGTCTGATAACCACAGCTCAAGTGTTAGCTCCATTCAAGGCTTAAATACATTCCTGTTTTTGTGTTAGCAGAGAGCTGCTGGGTGAAAAAGCTCATTTCCTTGCTGCACTCTTTCAGATTTTATGATCTCATAGATCCCAAAGTTTCATTTGATGTTTCTCTTTGTAATTTCTTCTTTGCATCGTCTGATGATCAATGTGAAGAAAGCTCCACATTCGTCTTACTTTCAGCCTGGGCTGTAAACTGCAGGTTCACACCAGGTGCCCTCTCCCTGTTACATCACAAACACTTAACAGAAATCCCATTTATGTAGTTTGATTGTGTCTGGGTCACCGCCCAGTTATTGACACACATCCAATTATACACAAGGACACAATGTTACGTTGTAATAAACTTTACAATAACAAGAAACTGTTGCATATTCATCACATGCTGTAGACCTATTTGGCCTGTTTCCCTATTGGCAGTGAAACAACAAGCCAGCAATGCCTTTATGATATATTAAAGGCACATAAATGCATAAAACTGGTTATTTTATTCTATAATCGTAGGTTTAACTGTTCAGTCAGTTTGTTCTCATCTGAAAGTGACAGTTTGGGTCTCAGTAGCCTGTATGTACATATAATTGTTTGAACTGATGAATCTGCAGTTGTTTACACGTGGCTACAAGAGATCCTCCTAACTTATGTAAATCTCCACCTTTGCTTGTTTCATCCTGGACTTTCCCATTGTTCTGAGTATTGGTCCATCAATGACTGCTGTTGCTAATCATGAACACTAATGAGAAGTTAATAGGCCTTTGTCTGGTCAAGTTACAAGACATGTTTGTGTAGCTACATGTGAGCCTGCATATATACTGTTGACTGTGTTGAAGTCAAACTTGTGCTCCTACTTCCTGAGTCTGTGTTGCACCATCGTCCCACCCTGGAAAAATAGCTGACA